CAAATATGTGACAATTAATGATTTTGAATAATAAAGATTTGATAACAATTTTTGTATCCTCCATCATTTTTGTTTAATTTTATATAATTAAAAGAAATTAAATAATCACATTATGCATACAATAAAAAAGTTTAGATTTATATTATATGCTATATTTTTAATTTTTTAAAAGGATTATAAGTTACTAATACTGTTAAAAATCTACATTGAAATTTTTGTGATCAAAGTTTAACCTTTTTATTACAACAAGATACAAATAATCATAAAAAAATCATATAAATATGAAATCTCATTCAATATTTTTAAATTAAAATATATCCTCTATATATAATAGAGAAACATTTAAAAATTTATAACCTTAAGTTAGTAATATTTATGAAAGAACCTTGTTAAATTATCACTTAATTAAGATACCAATTTACCTTACGTGTTGGTTTTAGAATCAATTGAAAAAGAATTTGGTCCAAAATCGAGTAAGGAAATCACTAGGGACATAATATAAACGTCTATTTAGAAGGCAACTTTCACTTTTTTAGTGTTAATATCAAGTATCTTGCGTATATATTCGTATATATTCCATGTCCAAGTCTATGGTTTCATCTTATAGATAGTCATAACTCAATTCTACAATTTAGGGGATACTAATATGCAAGTTTATATGTTATTTAGTATTATTCATTTGCAGAAACTAAATCAAACAATAAATTTTATGTTTTTAATATTTCATTCTAATAAATAAGTTTTGCCATCAAAAATTAAACTTGCATACATATTTTTGCAAAGTAGATACGAATTGAATATTGAGTATGGAGTTTTACTTTGTGCATCGAATACTCTATAGCCCTATCGAATATAACCAAATTTTTGGTTAACATGAATTTTAAAAATTAATTGTGAAATTAACTGGTTTACATTTTCGTTTAATTTTATTTTCCACATTTTTGTTTAATTTTATTTTCAATTTTTTTGTCCAAAATAACCGATTGTTTTTGGTTTTTGGTTTTTGGTTTTTGGTTTTTGGTTTTCGGTTAGAATTGGTATAGTTTCTTTAGACTCGAATATTTTGGATAATTTTGGTTCTTTTTTTTACATTTGATTAAACTCGTTATTTTGGTTTGGTTGTTTTGAGTATTTTCAATTTTTCTATTGTTCTTTAAAAAATCAACAACTGAACCGAATTAAAAACCAAACCATTTTTCAAAATTTAACCAACTAAACCAAAATCAAGATCATTACCAAATTGAAAATTAAAAATTTAGCTAGGTTCCGACAAAAAAGACAAAATTGCTATATAATCATACGATATATGACCTAGTTATTATTATATATTTTTATAATTTTTATCTTGCACAAGGTTCGGATCTTATTCTAGTCAACAAACTAATAAAAGAACCGTTTATGCATTTAAAAAGTTGGATTCATACGCCTATAAGCGCGAGGCAAAGCAATCTCTATCTAGCTATAATGCCTTTTTCTAAGAGAACTCCAGTTATTAATGTTATCATTTCATAAGCATGCATATTATATATATATCTTTTTTTAACAAAACATATTAGATAGTCATGATTAAATATTCTCCATTAAGAGGACCATATTGATTTTCTCCACCACTTTTTCTTCTTTCACATTCCTAAGGTGCTGTTTTTAATATTGTGTATGATTTAAAGCCGAACTTAATCTACACTCCGGATAATATAGAAAGAGAATCATTAAAATTGTTGATATGGTGTCAATCCTCGAAAGTAGAACTAAGAAAGTGATGCCTCCCTATAAATAGATGTGGAAACAAAGACAAATCCTTTCTAGAAATGTTAAAACAAGAAAAGATAATTTTACCTCCATTGATGAGGCATCAGCATGTGTATGTGCCCTTTCGGGGAAACAATCAATTAATTTTGTGTATAACACATCGAAAATTTCGTGACAAGAAAGTGATGACAGAAGGTGCTTGTGTATGGTCTGTTAATTAGGTGAGCAGCAGCCGACCTAGAGAGAGAAAAAGCATATATAGGAAGAGAGAAAGAGACTAGGGTTTTAAATTCAAAATTTGGAGATATAGCATAGAGAGATGAGATTTTATGGTTTGGTGATCGTGCCCATCATTTTCACTTGTTTTTCTGTGTTTTAACGGTTTGTTAATTAAGACATCGTACTCTATGTTTTACCCCCGTTACATTTCCTTCGAGGCATTATCATATTTAAGTTATAAGATTATTGGTAAATTTACTTGTAGTACATTCGTAAAAGTCCAACAGAACAAATTCAAGTTTGGAAAGTCAACATTGAGACGGGCATAGTCACATATATACGTCTTTTTCACATATATATGTCGAATCAAGGGGATAATGTTTCCAGCGTTAATTTCATTTTTCACACTCGGCTCTGACTGTAAGTCACTTTTGGCGTAACATTCTTAAGAGTAAAAATAATTTTCCCCAAATTACGCTTGGTCAGAGTAAATATTTTTGTCCTATTATAAATTTTAGAGTAAAGTTTTTCTTCTCTTTCTTCCAGCGTAAAATTTTACTCTGGCATTTATCTTTTCTCGTCTTTTTTATTTCGCTCATTTACTCTTTTCTTTATTCTTCCCAGTTACGCCACTTTTCCCAATCAAACTCCAAACTTCACCCTCGATTCTGAAATATTGCGCGTCTGGAATAACCAGAGTTGTGGCAACCAAAATTTTGGTTGTAACACTGAGAATTGAACAATTAATTGATGCTTTGATTTGGTTGAATTTATTTTTTGGCACGTTAAAGTTGTATGCTTTACTTCACCACCTCTTATAGAATTGATAGAATACTAAAAACTAATTCACTATATTGTGAATTATATTCGCTCAAGTTACTACATTGCTCTACTACATTTGATTATTTTATTTATGGCATACTTTCATTCGTTATATATTCGTGTACGGTAGACGCTTTTCTATAAAAAAAAAAAAAAAAGAGAGATCCACATAAACAATTTTGGATCCTGGACAAACGCTGTAAACAAATTACTAACGATTTGATGTATAGTTAACTTTTTCCGTTTAACTGCTTCGGTTAGTGGGGTTGAGCTGGACAACACAATAATATAAGGTAAAATGATACATGTTGTAAGTATTTATAGTAAAAAATATACTCCCTTTGTTTCGAAATAATTATCGTTCTAGAGAAAAAATTTTGTTTCAAAATAAGTGTCGTTTTAGAGTTTCGAGGTAAAATTTATTAGTTTTATACGATATTCTATTTTTCTATTGGTTGAAAAGTGGTTAGGTGTATAGGTAATTGTGTTTTATCTTAAAAATATGTAAAATTAAATATTTTCTTAATATGTGTGTAAAATTTTAGAATGACAACTAAAATGAAAAAGAGGGAGTATTAAATACTAAAGTATTTTTAGTAATTCTAATTTGATAAAAAGTTAATATACAATTTAAGTTAAAAGAGCTTGGAAAAGGTAAACTGGCATGAGAGTCAATGGAGCAGAAGCATGGAACCGATGTGTCAACATCTCTTCCCCTCCCCCTTTTATCGCACAAAACACACACTCTCAGTCCCTTTTTCCTTCGATATCTGTTATTCTTTTCTCTTTTTAGTTTGTTTAGCGAAAATAAAAAAAATTATCAAAGATAAAATCTGGGGAAATAGAAATAAGACTATAAAAAAAGTTTTTTATAATAGTATGTCAAAACAAAATAAGAAAAGCTGGGAAATTATTCTTAAGCCGCGTTTGCAGTCTTTAAGGACAATGATGATGGACTTCTGACCCTTTTCTAGTTGTCAATATCAACATCAAACATCAACGTTAAGGAAAAAACTGAGTAGTATATATTTGCGCCAGGTTCCACAGGCATCTCTTTTTATATTTAAACTAATTATGTTTTGGTTGATTAATGACTGTAAATATCCATCACAAATAAATGCTACATGTATTTTACATATTTGATTAAACGTAATTTACCTGAATGTACGTTCACCAAAAAAGTGTTTATTTCTTGAAACTATAGTATCTCTACTGTCGGTTGTATAAATTTGTAAGCCCTTGTTTGTTGTTGATAGATTTAGAAACGATTATTTTTTATATTAACTTGTAATATTCCAGATTTATGAAAAAAAAAATGAGACTAATTTTTAAAAAGAGATGCTTAGACTAATAAACTGAAAGCACATATTAATATGATGTCTATGAGTTATATAATTTAGTTTCATACAACAAATGAATCAAACTTGTGTTCCAATCTGTTCTTCCTATCACTCAATCGGGAGGTATCAGACATAAAACATTGTTCTCATACATAACTTTGAGTTTAAGTTCATTCAGATTAAATAATGTAATCTATTTGAAATAAAAAATCCAGTGTATGTTTTAGAAAGTGTAAAGGTAAGTGATATACTTGTTGCATATAACATTTTATATCTGTATTTATATTGTTTCAAAAGATGTATACTTTTGAAAAACTATCTTATCTAATTAACGTATATATATATTTTTACTGATGAAATAAAATTCAAAATCATTTCCAAATCAGTAAGTATTGATGTTTAAAAAACTAAAATTATAACTCATTTGTAAAAGTTTACTTACGAAATAGTACTAGTTTTCATAGATATTTTGGTTTTAAAAGCAATTTTATTTGAAATACTTTTGGGTAGGAGTAATAAATTTATAATATTTAAGAACCTACAATTTTTTATATTCTTAGTTTTTTTTTTTGGTACAAGGTACTCACATTGCCAGAATTTCCAAATCAGGTTGTTCTAATATCATCACTCGTTTCATTTCTCTGCGAAAATGCAAAGCCCACCAAAAAGCTAAAAAGAAACCCTAATAGTCGTCTGACTCATCACTCTTCATAAACCCCCAAAGCCAGATAAACTAAACCAGCTTGAGTCTCAAAAGATCAAACAAAATAGATTATCTGGTTCATCTTGTTCCCTTCTCTCTCTCTTTTAATAATAAAAACTCATTTTGGGCTATTTTTAGTCCACACTTTAAGTTGAGTGCTTCTTGAAATGGGTGAGACAACAAAAGAAGATGCTACAAAACCATCACCGAATCAAATCTCCTCGCCTAAAGATTCTTTACTTGATCACCAGACATCAATCCCATCACCCGTCCACCACCAACACCAATCTTTCCACCCTTCTCCGATCTTCATCGCCACCGTCTCTTCTCCCGGAGCTCCGGTTATCCCTAAACGACCACGTTTCAGCTCTTCCAGTGGTCTTTCTGTACCTCAATGGAAAGCCTTGCCGTCACCTTCCACCGTACCAACTGGGGCCACAATCCCTTCATTACCGTCCCCTTCCACCACCGTTGTAGCCGCCTCTTCCACTGAAACCGCCGCATCTTCACCGCTGGAACAAGAAACTATTAACACCGAGAAACAACAACTCGAAACTGAGCCGTTTCAACATAAATTCAGAAAAGGGAAATACGTAAGCCCTGTATGGAAACCACACGAGATGCTGTGGTTAGCAAAAGCTTGGAGGATCCAGTACCAAAAACAAGAAACTGGGCCTGGTTCCGGATCCGGGTCTGGTGAGGGAAGAGGGAAAACACGGGCTGAGAAAGACAGGGAAGTAGCCGAGTTCCTAAACCGGAATGGTGTTAACCGGGACTCAAAAATCGCCGGTACAAAATGGGACAACATGCTTGGTGAGTTTAGGAAAGTGAACGAGTGGGAGAAAGGAGGAGATAGAGAGAAATATGGTAAGAGTTACTTCAGGCTCTCTCCTTATGAGAGGAAACAACATCGACTTCCCGCTTCTTTCGACGAAGAAGTGTACCAAGAATTGGCTCTTTTCATGGGTCCACGTACCAGAGCTCCGACTATTAAACGTAGCAGTGGCGGAGCTCCGGCGAATGTTATCTTAACACCTCCGTCTGTTGAGACGCTTCCTCCTTTTCTTCATCCACCGTTCATGACTTCAGGAGATGATGATATTATTAACAACCGTATCACTTCCGTCGGTAAAATCTTGTTTATTACTTCTTTAATGTTTTTATTTATTTATTGTTCATTGACTTGTCTAAAAGTGCATGGTTATTTGATAGTCACATTATAGCATATACGGCTTGTGCATTTTTTTTCTTTTGATTGGCTAGATATCGTTATCAAAAGTTTCTGAAAAGAATATATTAATAACTATCTAGAAATTTCCACTTTCCTATTAATCATTAATATAATTTGTGTTTATATCTTAGGAGGCCATTTTTGATAAATTCGGATGTTTAATAAGAGTTGGAACTGATATTATTAATTAAAAATGAAGGAAGTTATGACATTTTTGTTATTTTCATAACCTTTGAGCAAAATTAAGTCTGTACTTTGTAGGAAGAGGGAAGAGACTAGCATTATCAGTAGCTCGAGATGAGCATCCTCAATATCCGTATTCACACGACATTGCCAGAGGGTCAGGTTTATTCTCTAATAGATCACTATACTTCAACCCTTCTTGCGAGACGATCCCATCTTCTTCTTCTTCGTCTTCCTCTCTAAAAGATCTTCGTCGTATTGGGAAAATACGGTTAACCTGGGAGGAATCGGTTAACTTGTGGGCTGAAGAAGGGGAGGTTGATTATGGGAGAATTAGGGTTAGTGGGTCGAGTTTCTTGAATGCAGACGAGCTCGCCTATATGGATGATACCTTGGTGACTTGTACAATGGAATCTTTTGAAGATGGACCGCTCAGAGGATTCTCGTTGGATAAATTCATTACTGGTCAACATCTTAAAGTATTTGGGAGACAAAAGTCAACGTTATCATCTGCTCCTTCACCTTTAGGTAACATACATATACATTCGTCTAATGGTTAGACTATAAAACTAATTGAAGAAGAAATCAATCCAGTGAACCTCTATATAAACTATAGAGCTAGGAAATCAATCCAATGAACTTCTCCATTATCTTATACAGAAGAACGAGATAATGTAAAGGATAATAATCCTAGTGACATATGTACAGAATTCAAGAGAAAGTTGCAGATAATAATGTTATATTGTGTGTATGTGCAAACATATCTCTAATCTCCACAAGTTATAATATTTTTTCAGTTAATATGGCAGATTCGGTTGGTCGAGCTCAACTTCCATTTTCAGTGCCCATTTATAAATGTAAGTCATTTTGTGATCTTATAGCATAAAAGTTCGTTAATTTTGTATTATTAATTAAGGTGTGAACAAATTCGTACACAGCAATTGCAACATTGGAGTTCCAAGACCCATCAGAACATTACTTGCGTAGCTTGCATGTGCAGGCGGCTAATCTTCCGACCTTATTTGAGCTAGCACGGTATCTTCAAGAACCGCCGCCAGAAAGTCTGCGGTTTCCTATCCGGCGAGACGTCTACAAAGACTTGCCGCCAGGGAAAGAGCTCTTCTTCACCACTTCCTCAACGGAGCTTCTAGATTGTAGAGCAATCACATATGATATCATCAGCCCCATAATGTCCCGCTTAAGCCCTAACTTCGTCATCTCCAGCAAAGACTCGCTGATCCCGCTTTGGGACACCTGCGTTAACCGGATGGTTTCAAAGTTTTGTGACATGGTGGTTTTGCGTAAACCGGATTCGTCTTCGTTTGTTGAAAACGTTCAAGATCAGTGGCCAAACGTTGTGGGATTCGTAAAAGGATTCGGATTATGGAGAGGAGAAGAGGCTAATAATGTACGCGAAGGTGCAGCTGTTCCTTCTTCTCTATTGGTCGAAAAGATTCTTTGGTCGTACGACGATCTTCCATACATTCTTGGTTACCACGCAATAAGGTTCACCGTAACGTTCTGCGCTTTGAGCCGTTCTTCGCAGGATCGAGTGATATGCACTGATCTATATTCTTTCGACGTCTCTTCACCGTCGGATCGAATCAAGGCCTTGGTTCCTTGTTACCGTCTCGCTTCTCTTTTACCTTTGCTTGCAGATCGGTGCAGTATGAGGCATTTATGCTACAACGACTTCGAGAGAATCAGTCATGGAGATTTCGTGACCGAGATAACTCCCAACACGGTGACTAAGTATTACTCAAGCAAGAGAAAATGGAGCGTAGTGAAAGGTATTTACGATTTTCTCGACCAAAGAGTTCTACACGCGGAGCATTTGGATGGTTCAAGCGAGAAGGAACTATCACTGAGTTTTAAGCCACGTGGAATCAGAGTCAAACCTTGTAACATTGACCAGCTTATCGAGTCTCTGATGTGTGTGACGAGAGCGCTTGTTGCGCTCCACGATCTTTCGTTCATGCATCGTGACATGCGATGGGAAAATGTCATGAGAAGCGCGGAAACGGCCACAACAACATCGGACGGGGAATGGATCGTTTGCGGGTTTGATGAAGCGGCTGAGTCCCCGCAGCTTAACCCGCACCGCCCTATGGCAGAGGAAGAAGTGGAGGAGGAGCATGGGAGGCAGGCTCCGGAGATGGAGAGAGGGTTGCATGCGGTGAAAGTAGATGTGTGGGGAGTGGGTTATATGATAAAGACTTGTGGATTGAGTAATGTACCAAAGATGTTGAGGGAACTTCAAGGGAAGTGTTTGGAGCCGAACCAAGAGAACCGACCAACCGCAGCCGATTGCTTTCACCATCTCCTTCAGGTTCAGTCTGCCAGTACATCGTCGTATTAGTCCTTTTAATTTCATTTTTTTGGTTCTCATATGAATGTTGGAAACCTATAACAACTTTTAGGTTTTGACCATCAGTAGACAACTTTGTCACTTTTTAATAATTTTGGCAGCTTTGAAACTAGAATGCCTTCGGGAGCAACGTTTCGTTTCGAATATTTTGAGGGATGGTAGTGAGTTGTAGTGAGTATCGGATAATAGTGTATCTAATATTTTCGCTGGGTACCCGAATATGCAAACATAAAAGTAATTGTAGCTTATCACCAAAAAAAGAGGGAATAAGTAATTGCAGCCTAAAAGAACAAAAGAAGGAATATGTTATTTTGATTCTTGACTGATGAGAAGTGAGAGCACCCCCATTGAGAGTTCAAATAGGGGGTTCACACGGAAACCAAAAAAATAAAATAATAAAATAACAAAAATCTATGAACCCCTCTCTCCTAAAGTTCACCCTGGTGAACCCCTCTCTCCTAAGATTCACCACGTGTCGGCCCGGGATTGGTCTAGGTCTTTTTTTTTTTTTTTTTAAAAAAAAAAAAAAATCAAAAAGAAAACAGAAAAGTTTTAATAATAAAAAACTGATTCAATGAACCCCAAGAGGGAGTTCATTGATGTGGATGCTCGAGGGTGTTTGTCGGGAGAAGCAACAGACATAGGGCTAAGCGAATTGGCGGCTGTTTTCTATCATCTGCGCCAAATTTCACATTTATTTTCTTTCTCCCCATATCTTCCTTTCTTTGTTTTATACTTCACATCGGGACTATTTTTTTTTTTTTCAATTTTTAGAGAGATTTCGTTAAGTATCATGTTTGGGAATAAAATTAGAAAACTACACACTCACACGGAAAGGAGAAAACCCATCTCGCTAATACTTTTTGGAAACGGGAAAAAAAATTGCCCGTAAGAGAAAAGAAGGTTAGTACTTGCAGATGATGATGGGGCTACTTGTATAAATATTATTGTGGATTTTGTATAGGACTTATTTACGAACTAGCTATATTTTACCAATAAATTAAGAATATATGATTGATTTTGACGTTATTAGATCCTATAGTATTTGTGCAATATATTTCCAGTTTTATCCTTCTTTTAAACCGGTTGTCAATAATAGAAAAAAAACTGTAATCGATAATTGTGGTGAGTATTACGGCGATAGTGATTATCGGAGCGGTGATATTGGTTATCTCACCCACGGTGATTACGAAGAAGATGGTGACAATGATAAGAGTAATTACGGATGAAATATAGGTCGTTAATAAAAAAAATCATCTTTCATACAAATATTACTGCGACTATGATATTGGTCATGCTTTGACTACATTGATCGAATAAAGAGATAATGTTACTGAAAAAATAAACAGTGTAAATAGAATAGAATATTCTAAATGGTATAGTTCATATTAATGAAATTATAAAAAAATTAATAATAGTGGAGGTAATGTTTACCTTAACATCAACCCAAGTCTTCCATAAACTAAATCCAAAATATTAATCATTAAAACCTAAAAATAATATAAATCATAACCCAAATATCAAATCTGCACATAGTACATAATATAAAACATTGTCAAAATAAAATAGTAATAAACGAAATAGTATGGTACATATTAATGTTCAAATTTTGAAATATATATAATTGCAAGGAAGGAGGCAATGCTTACCCTAAAGTCAATTCAAACCTTCCATAAATTAATCTCAAAACACTAGTCACTAAATCCTAAAAATAAATATAAAATCAAAACATTAATCACTAAACCCTAAAAAGAAATATAAACTCAAAACACTAATCACTAAACTTAAAAAAAAATATAAACTCAAAACACTAATTACTAAATCCTAAAAAGAAATATAAACTCAAAACACTAATCACTAAACCCTAAAAGCAAATATAAACCCTAACCCAAATATCAAATCTCCACATAGTACATAATATAAAGCATTATCAAAATAGAATAGTAATAAACGAAATAACATAGTACATATTAATGTTCAAATTTTGAAATGTATATGATTGCAAAGAAAGAGGAAATGCTTACCCCAAAATCAATCCAGATCTTTTATCCCAAAGTCAATCCAAATCTTTTATAAACTAAATCCAAAATACTAATCATTAATCACAAAAAGAAATATAAATCCTAACCCAAATATCAATATATGCACATAATACATAATATGAAACATTATTAAAATAAAATAGTAACAAACAAAATAGCATAGTATGCATTATTCAAATAACATAATACAACTGGGAACTTACATGACAAACGAGGACGTCTCAACCATAACGTCATCTTCGTCTGTAGATTTCAGAAGCGGATACGACATATGTAGCAGAGCTTATAGATATGGAGGTGGTTGTGCTAGCTATGAAATTGGTGATGATCGTATTGTAATGGTGATGGAAGCAAAGTGGTGAAGATCAGAGGAAAAATAGTAGTAGTTGATTATGGAAGAAGAAGATAGTTTTCTCTTTCATTAACTGAAGAGTTGTGGTAATATAGTATATATTACAAAAATAATGGAGGTAATTTTTTTTGGTTAGGTACTTAATTATTGTTTGTTTTTTAGCTATATAACCCAGTTTCCCTTTTGTATGTTACTGTGTCAAAGTAGGTCTACAAGAAAAAAAAAATAAGTCTATAAGAAAGAGATTCTTAGACTTTGAATGGAACGCAGTTAAAATGAAGAACAAAAGCATATCATTTATTATGCATAATCATCTACATTTAATTATCATTTAAACTTTTAATTGCAGAACAAAAATAATTGCAGATCAAGAATAAATCTGTATGCAAATTCAAACTAACCAATGATATGTTGATCTGCATAGAAAAAGAGAAAATGAGCTAAAAAGATGCTAAAGACCAATAGAAACACTTTATTAATTTTCTCCTAATAAATACTATCACTCTACTAATTTCTTTCATTCTCAAGTACAATTCTTCTCAAAATTATTCATTTTCTTTCAATTTATATATTATATTTTGACGAGTTTATCTATTAAAATATAGAGCATACATATATCATTTTCTATATATATTAATAGAAAGTATAAAAGTTTGCTTACATATAGTTATGCATGTTATTTTGTATCATCTAAAATATATATATTTCACAAAAATATATATAGTAGATAAATAGATAGATAAAACTAGATATTAAACCTGGACAAAAAAATTGAAACCGAAGAAGTGAATCAAAATGGAACCAAAATATCTGAAACCAGAACTGGATCGAAACCTTCCAATACTGGAATCGTCTTATATTTCTATATAAAAATAACTGAACCGAAAATTGAACGGGTACCCGAACAAAAAAATTGTATATACATATAATATAACTAAATATATATTTTAATTGAGAAACCTGTTAAAAGTATACAAAAATAATTGAATGAAATTAAATTATTATAAAGCATCCAAACTACTCAAAAGTATCTGGACTAAATATGACACATATCAGAAAACGCAGATCAAAGAAAAATGCAGTTCAAGCTGAAAAAATACAGATCAAGTAAATTATGCGAAACAAATGTAGATCAAGAGAATATAGAATAAACTACTACTTGTAATTAAAACAAAAGAAAAAAAAATACATGTACGTGTTATAATATATATGTTGGAAGCAAATATTTTTTTTATTAAATATCCTTATCCATAAACTTTAACTTATTTTTAAATGTTATAATATAAAAATTACATTTTACCCAGATCCAAAAACCCGAACTGGAACTGAATCGGAAAACTGGTTCGGTCAAGTACGGGTAATGCCATTTTACCACACTCAGTCTTATTGTGGAGCACCCGACTCGAACGAACACCCAACCAAAAAGCCGGTAGGTTGGGTACGATTAATGTCATTTAACTATATTGAATCTTATTGTGGAGGACCGCATATTGTTGGGGTCAAAATCGGTACGACGGAATCAATATCCAAAACTTTCCATAAAACACTAAATGCGTTTTATAAAACTCGAGAAGTCGTTTTATGAAACTTGAGGAATCATTTTATAAAACTCGAGAATACGTTTTATAAAACTTGAGAAGTCGTTTTATAAAACTCGAGAAATCGTTTTATATAATTCGAGAAGTCGTTTTATAAAACCCGGGAAATCGTTTTTTAAAACTTGAGAAATCATTTTATAAATAAATTTCCGAGCAAAGGAAATCCGCGGAAAACTCGGAAATCGTTATCTCGAAAGAACGAAACAAACGCCGATTACACGATCCTCCGAGTTAAGCACAAAACCGCGAAAAACAGCATCCGCAGTAATCCGCGAGCTGGTTCGGCCGAACTAGCTCGCCGTACGGCGAGCTAAGTGGCCTCGAGCTACCTAGAGTTAGCTCGTAGTACGGCGAGCTATCTCGACCTAATCCAGCTCGCCGTACAGCGATCTATCTCGACCAAGACTAGCTCGCCGTACGGCGAGCTAGGGACGTCCCGTATAGCTCGCCGTACGGCGAGCTGAAGCGGTCCGGTTCGGTTCGTCGTACGTCGAGCTAATTATCCCGAGCCTCGATCTCCAACATCCTAAAGTCAAGGCATACGTCCTTCGGCACGACCGTATTCCGAACCACGGTCGGAATGTCTCTCGTTTCGTCTCGATCCGTCCTATCGTTCTAGTTTTACTATAAAAACCGTAAAGTCTTGTTTTCTCGAAAGAACTCAAGGAAATCTTATAAAACGGCAACGGTTAAACAAAACACCGAATATTGCCTAAACTATATGATTTACTCGAGATTTTTTGTGAGAAATCGTAAAAAAACACGTTTTTAATAAAATTTCTAGTGAATCGTCGAAAGCGGCAACGATTAACCGAAACATCGAACATTGCCAAACTTTACAATTAACTCGAGAAACTTATTTAAAAAACGGCGTCGCATCAGGAAACGATCTCGTGTGAAGTCGTAAAACGGTTTTATCGCAAAACGGCTCTATAAGACTTGAACGCGATGAAAGCCCATCTTGCGACTTTGACGAAGTCTAACCAAAAGATACAACGAAGTTTTGATGATATACTCGTAGGAAAGAAGATAAATTTCAAATTTGAAGATAAATTTCAAGTTTGAAGATAAATAGAAGATTTCCGCGGGA